CTATGATGCGATTGGAATACCAGAGACTTGGTGGGATAACTCACATGACTGGAGTACTGTCATGGATGGATATAAACTGTTCAGGAAGGACAGGCAGGGCAGAAAAGGTGGGGGAGTTGCATTGTATGTAAGAGAGGAGTATGACTGCTCAGAGCTCCGGTATGAAACTGCAGAAAAACCTGAGAGTCTCTGGATTAAGTTTAGAAGTGTGAGCAACAAGGGTGATGTCGTGGTGGGAGTCTGCTACCACCAGACCAGGGGGATGAGGTGGACGAGGCTTTCTTCTGGCAACCAGCAGAAGTTACTAGATTACAGGCCCTGGTTCTCATGGGAGACTTTAATCACCCTGATATCTGCTGGGAGAGCAATACAGCAGTGCACAGACGATCCAGGAAGTTTTTGGGAAGTGTAGGGGACAATTTCCTGGTGCAAGTGCTGGAGGAAACAACTAGGTGCAGAGCTCTTCTAGACCTGCTGCTCACAAACTGGGAAGAATTAGTAGGGGAAGCAAAAGTGGATGGGAACCTGGGAGGCAGTGACCATGAGATGGTTGAGTTCAGGATCCTGACACAAGGAAGAAAGGAGAGCAGCAGAATACGGACCCTGGACTTCAGAAAAGCAGACTGTGACTCCCTCAGGGAACTGATGGGCAGGATCCCCTGGGAGAATAACATGAGGGGGAAAGGAGTCCAGGAGAGCTGGCGGTATTTTAAAGAATCCTTATTGAGGTTGCAGGAAAAAAACATCCCGATGTGTAGAAAGAATAGTAAATATGGCAGGCGACCAGCTTGGCTTAACAGTGAAATCCTTGCTGACCTTAAACACAAAAAAGAAGCTTACAAGAAGTGGAAGATTGGACAAATGACCAGGGAGGAATATAAAAATATTGCTCAGGCATGCAGGAGAGAAATCAGGAAGGCCAAATCACACTTGGAGTTGCAGCTAGCAAGGGATGTTAAGAGTAACAAGAAGGGTTTCTTCAGGTATGTTAGCAACAAGAAGAAAGTCAAGGAAAGTGTGGGCCCCTGACTGAATGAGGGAGGCAACTTAGTGACAGAGGATGTGGAAAAAGCTAATGTACTCAATGCTTCTTTTGCCTGTCTTCACGAACAAGGTCAGCTCCCAGACTGCTGCACTGGGCAGCACAGTATGGGGAGGAGGTGACCAGCCCTCTGTGGAGAAAGAAGTGGTTTGGGACTATTTAGAAAAAGTGGACAGGCACAAGTCCAAGGGGCCGGATGCGCTGCATCCAAGGGTGCTAAAGGAGTTGGCGGATGTGATTGCAGAGCCATTGGCCATTATCTTTGAAAACTCATGGTGATCGGGGGAGGTCCCGGATGACTGGAAAAAGGCTAATGTAGTGCCCATCTTTAAAAAAGGGAAGAAGGAGGATCTGGGGAACTACAGGCCAGTCAGCCTCACCTCAGTCCCTGGAAAAATCATGGAGCAAGTCCTCAAGGATCAATTCTGAAGCACTTAGAGGAAAGGAAAGTGATCAGGAACAGTCAGCATGGATTCACCAAGGGCAAGTCATGCCTGGCTAATCTAATTGCCTTCTATGAGGAGATAACTGGGTCTGTGGATGAGGGGAAAGCAGTGGATGTGTTATTCCTTGACTTTAGCAAAGCTTTTGATACGGTTTCCCACAGTATTCTTGCCAGCAAGTTAACGAAGTATGGGCTGGATGAATGGACTAGAAGGTGGATAGAAAGCTGGCTAGATCGTCGGGCTCAACGGGTAGTGATCAATGGCTCCATGTTTAGTTGGCAGCCGGTATCAAGCGGAGTGCCCCAAGGGTCGGTCCTGGGGCCGGTTTTGTTCAATATCTTCATTAATGATCTGGAGGATGGCGTGGATTGCACTCTCAGCAAGTTTGCAGATGACACTAAACTGGGAGGAGTGGTAGATACGCTGGAGGGTAGGGATAGGATAAAGAGGAACCTAGACAAATTAGAGGATTGGGCCAAAAGAAGTCTGATGAGGTTCAACAAGGACAAGTGCAGAGTCCTGCACTTACGACGGAAGAATCCCATGTACTGTTACAGACTAGGGACCGAATGGCTAGGAAGCAGTTCTGCAGAAAAGGACCTAGGGGTTACAGTGGACGAGAAGCTGGATATGAGTCAACAGTGTGCCCTTGTTGCCAAGAAGGCTAACGGCATTTTGGGCTATGTAAGTAGGGGCGTTGCCAGCAGATCGAGGGACGTGATTATTCCCCTCTATTCGGCATTGGTGAGGCCTCATCTGGAGTACTGTGTCCAGTTTTGGGCCCCACACTACAAGAAGGATGTGGAAAAATTGGAAAGAGTCCAGCGGAGGGCAACAAAAATGATTAGGGGGCTGGAGCACATGACTTATGAGGAGAGGCTGAGGGAACTGGGATTGTTTAGTCTGCAGAAGAGAAGAATGAGGGGGGATTTGATAGCTGCTTTCAACTACCTGAAAGGGGGTTCCAAGGAGGATGGATCTAGACTGTTCTCAGTGGTAGCAGATGGCAGAACAAGGAGTAATGGTCTCAAGTTGCAGTGGGGGAGGTTTAGGTTGGATATTAGGAAAAACTTTTTCACTAGGAGGGTGGTGAAGCACTGGAATGGGTTACCTAGGGAGGTGGTGGAATCTCCTTCCTTAGAGGTTTTTAAGGTCAGGCTTGACAAAGCCCTGGCTGGGATGATTTAGTTGGGAATTGGTCCTGCTTTGAGCAGGGGGTTGGACTAGATGACCTCCTGAGGTCCCTTCCAACCCTGATATTCTATGATTCTATTCTATGATTCTTCTGGCAAACAGGCTAGGGACACTCAGAGCATGGTGTTGCATCCCTCCCCATCCTGGCTAATAGCCACTGATGGACCTATTCTCCAGAAATTTATCTAGTTTTTTTTTAATCCTGTTATAGTTTTGGTCTTCACAGCATCCCCTGGCAAAGAGTTCCACAGGTTGACTTTATGTTGTGTGAAGAAGTACTTCCTTTTGTTTTTTTAAAACCTGCTGCCTATTAATTTCATTGGGTGACTGCTAGTTCTTGTGTTATGTGAAGGATTAAATAACATTTCCTTATTCACTTTCTACACACCAGTCAAGATTTTATAGACCTCTATCATATCCCCCCTTAGTCATCCCTTTTCTAAGCTGAAAATTCCCAGTCATTTTAATTTCTCCTCCTGTTTCATACCCCTAATCATTTTAGCTGCCCATCTCTGTACCTGTTCCAATTCCAATATATCTTTTTGGGGCTGGGGTGACCAGATCTGCACACAGTATTCAAGGTGTGCACGTACTATGGATTTATATAGAGGCAATATGATATTTTCTGTCTTATCTATCCCTTTCTTAATGATTCCCAACATTCTGTTTGCTTTTTTGACTGCTGCTGCCCATTGAGTGGATGTTTTCAGAGAACTATCCACAATGACTCCAAGATCTTTTTCTTGAGTGTTAACAGCTAATTCAGACTCCATCATTTTGTATGTATAGTTGAGATTGTTTTCCAATGTGCATTACTTTGCATTTATCAACATTGAATTTCATCTGCCATTTTGTTGCCCAGTCACCCAGTTTTGTGAGATCCCTTTGTAATTCTTCACAGTCTACCTGGGACTTAACTATCTTGAATAGTGGTTTGAGCTTTGGCCTGCTAAACCCACAGTTGTGAGTTCAATCCTTGAGGGGGCTATTTGGGGATTGGTCCTGCTTTGAGCAGGGGGTTGGACTAGATGACCTCCTGAGGTCTCTTCCAACTCTGATATTCTATGAAACAGTTCTATCTGCAAATTTTGCCACCTCACTGTTTACCCATTTTTCCAGATCATTTATGAATATGTTGAACAGTAATGGTCCCAGTCGACCCCTCAGGGATACCACTATTTATCTCTCTCCATTCTGAAAACTGATAATTTATTCCTACCCTTTGTTTCCCATCTTTTAATCAGTTACTGATCCATGAGAGGACTTCCCTCTTATCCCATGATGGCTTACTTTTCAAAAGTCAATTTAAATTAAATAATTTAAAAAAAAAAATTATATATTTTTTTAGAAATCTAGACCTGTTATGTGTTTTGGTGTAACTTGCATTATCCTTATGTTAAATTTGCATTATCCTAACAAAACATTTACTTTATTCATATCTCTTTTATATATCTCATCAGCCCTGACCCCCCCCCCCCCCGTAAATTTGAACACCCCCCCCTAATTTCAATTCCTGGGGAAACCACTGCGGGGAGGGAAGCCCACAGGAGGGAATGGGAAGATGCTTCAGGGAAGGAAATGCAGAGAAAATTGCAGAGGAAGTTTAATAACTTCCTCTTTAATAACAGGAAGAGGGAGATAAACAGAAAGAGGAGGATGGGGAAGGAAGAGACACAAAGGACAGAAGTAGCAGTGGGAGCAGCTTGTCTCATTCAGTGATGAATGGGATGATAAGGCACTAAACAAACGATAAATAATCACTAACGGTTTAGTTACTACACAGAGGCCATATTCTCTGCTTGATCACTGTGCAAAGCTCCTACTGACACCTGTGGGCATGCATGCCACTTTGCACCGTGGGGCGTATACAGTCCTGAATTTACACCCTGGCCTATGTACTATAATGAAACATAGAATCCAGCCCTCTCACCCTTCATCCAGAGCTTTCACTCAGATGCTGATAAGGCACCAGACTGAAGGGAACTTGCATTCTATTTCCTGCTCTGCCACTGACTTACTGTGTGACCTTGGACTTGTCACTTCACCTCTCTATGCCCCTGTTTCATCCTCTATAAAACTGGATGATAATGCTTACCCATCCCATCCGTTGTTCAATTCATACATGCATGAAAAGTACCATGGCCAAGCTTTTCAAAACCAGATGACTAAAGTTAAGACTCCTAAATCCTTAATGAGCCACTTGAGTAAGTGGCACATACTCTAGAGGTGCACAGAACGTTTGAACCTCCCCGTGATCTGAGCATGGGTTTGGATTGTTATCATTTTAATGGAATATATATCCTTTGGTTCCATTGCAGAGCCCCGCCTGTGCAGCCAAAGGTCCTGCAGAAGAAGGATGACACCCATGTCCTGCGCTTGCTGCTGCATCAGAGGGACCTGGAAATCCAGGGGCTGAGATGCGCCGCTCAGAAGGAGCCAGCGGCCCGGCTCTCCTTCATTTTGCAGGAGCTAGTGAGCATGAGGCAGAGAGTGAGTGCAACCCCCACAAGGTGAGCAGCAGAAAACAAGGGGTTGAGGTCAGACACTGGTGGGAAATGTGATAAAGTCCCACTCAGTGACAACACAAAGACTGGCAAAAGGAGGGGAATCTGCCTGGGTGAAAAGGCCCATCTCACCATTATATATCCACACCGCCTCCATAAAAACTACAGTCAAACAACATTATTAAGGTTGCAAAGTCCAGCGCTCAAAAGTTAGGATCTACCCCCCTGGTGTGTGTATGCGTTATACTACAATCTTTAATGCATGAGCACAGGCTACTTTTGCCACAGGACGCCTGCCTCAGAACGTATTGGTATTATTTTACACTCTCGTGATTTTTAAGCGAATCTCATGAAATTTTGGACCCTGATTTACAGTGGCCACGGGTGGGTTGGGGCTCACGCTCTAGGCCTGGTCTCTAGAATCAGGGAGCACACTGTAGGGTGGAGAGGGTATAAGGAAACATGAGTGATAGAGAGGGCTGCCATAGATTGCAGGGGGCCAGGGGAAAGCAGAAATGAGGGAAGGGGGTCAAAGAGAGCGGCACAGGGGAGAATTCAAGGGAGCAAATCTTTGGGGAAGGAGGGAGGAGAACAGATAATTTATGCAAATGAGATCATGCATATTTGTCAAATATTTGTCAAATTAGGACACTGCCTTATTTCCATGGCAACTCCAGATTTCAGGCCCTACAGCCTTAATAGGTGATGACACAGCAACCCCTGGACTAGCAACTTCAGTTTCTGCAGCCCAGAAAAAGAATATAGTCACTCTAACAGACGGAGAGTCTCTTCCAGTGAGGGTGAGAAAGCTTAGCCCAGTTCCTCTTGGCTCCCCAAGTACAGCAGCTGCCTTTGGCTCACGTGCAGAATACATACACCCAAGCACTGATTTTCAGAGGTGTTGAGCACCCACACCTCCTACTGAAGCCAAGCAGAGCCATAGATGCTCGGCAGCTCTGAAAATCAAACCCTTGAAGCAAATCCAGCTGCCAGATGGATGCAAGACTCTGTAAACTTAATGTGCATCAAGGTCTCAATTTGCTTAGACCTGATCTTGCTTCCACTAAAGTCAATGGAAGCAGGAGCAGGCCAGTGGGGACAGATTTCCAGGACGTCAGCACCCACAATTGAGGTCCAATTTTCAAAAGAGCTCAGCACCCAGCATCTCCCATTGCTTGCCCTCGGTGCTGAGCCCTTTTGACAATCTGGTCCTGATTTTGGGTGCTGAGCACTTTTGAAAGTCTGGCCTTTAATGCCAAAGAGTCTAGCCAAGAATCGTCTCACTGGGAAATAAAGCAGAGTGAAAGAAAGTGATGTGACTGCATACAGCACCAGCCCAAAACAAGACTAGAGCAAAAGCGAAGGCTCTTTGCTCAAATAGACACAATCCCTAGGGGAAAAAAGCCAGGCAGCTCTGAGATTTCTCTGCAAGACAAACACAAAATGGAACTTTGGTTTTGGTGCAGCCTGTGATGGGAGAATGAAAGATTTCTGGGAAACCCACTGAAAAGAGGATCCTGCTCTTGCCGGTGCCACTGATTTGAAAGCCTGCTCTCTGGCACAAAGTTCGTGCCACCGGAAAATCTGGTGAGCTCAGGGCATGGAAGGGAGCGTTCCACATCACGGCTCTGCCTATGAATCACAGTGCAAACAAGGCTGCGCTCCTTCTGAAAGGGAGGCAGTGGAAATATAAAAAGCCATTCAAGCTCCGTGATCCAGAACATGAATAAACTGTATGTGGCAGAGAACAGCTACCATGCCTATTAAAAAACCCATCCTCCCTGAATCCTAGGAACCCGTATGGATACATTATATGACACAGCTATATGGGCCACCTCCTCAGCCGGTGTATACAGTCCTAGCTCCACTGAAATCAAGGAAGCTATGACAATTAACATCAGCTGTGGATCTGGCCTTATATATCCTAAATCACGTAGGGCTCCAGAGCAGGGCCTATGGGATCATTCTGGATAGGCCAGGGGATCAATGACCATACTGCAGTGAGCAAGGAGCAATGATCGTACTACAGTCACTGCTGCCCTTAGATCATGGCTCATCCCAGAAAAGTTCTTGCAGGAGTGTCCAGGATTCAACTTAATAGCAGAGCTGCATGAGCTGCTCTGTGTTATAAAATGGCCTTTGACATAAGTCACATGCGTTCCTGCTTGCCTGAAGTAGTGCTGACAAGTGATGGTTGTGGATATAGTTCTCACGCTCTGGGGCTGCTTTTCAACTGGAGCCACATCACCAGGTGCTCAGACACTGCAGGGATGAGCACGGTACAAACACCTCGACAGAACAAGGCACATTTAGGGTCAACTTCACCTTTGTAAAGCCCCTTAGTCATAATTCTCCCCTGCCTTGCACCTTGTGTAGTCATTGACACCTGCCCCTAGTGGGTGTGCAGTGTTACCATTCAGATTTGCTCCTGCTTTTATACCCACTTTGCACTGACTCTGCACATATGTAAATGACTGCATGGGGAAAGTTGAATCGAGCCTCTGGTGCCTGCAAAAGAAATGGAAGGGAGGGAGATTAGCACAGCCTTTCTGCTGCTGTTTGCTGTGTTATTACAATGATCTGTAAGCCATGGTTTACCTGGCTGGTTTTAGGACCCAGCGGGAGACAAGAGCCTGCAAAGAGCTTCCCTCTTTGAAGCATATTTGGTGAGTCCTTTGTGCATTCCAGTTCAGCCCCTGGAGTTGGCAAAGTCTGAGTCGGACCTGACTGGGGTCCTGCTGGCTGAACCTCAATCTGATGTACTGCCACTCACCTTTTCATTCTTGGATCATAGCTGGCACTGTGATGGTCTGTGTTGCCAGAGTATTTCCTCAGAGAGATGCCTGCGGCTGCAACGGGCATGCACACACACGGGCAGACACATACACACACTCTTGTGGTTTTGGCTTGGCTTCCAAATGCTGACTTGACCCCTCAGATCCTTTCGGTTTCCTCCCGCTCCACTGACAACTCTGGGTTTCCTGCATTTAAAGAACATACCACAGAAAAACCCGTGTTGAATCACATGCGCACTGCACTCAAAGCCAAGGGCGAGCACATCCTGCCTGGGAGCAGTGTTCCCATCGGAAAGACCAGTCGTGACATCAACACATCAGACGTGATGTCAAGAAGACACAAGTCAGAACCAGCACAGGGCGGAAGCCCTATGTGGCTCCCAGCCTTCCCAAAGGAAACAGTACTCAGGTTTCATCTCCTGTTAACATGGCAAGCTTCCTGGTACCTGATCAGAGAGCTCAGAGGCAGCCCTTCCACCTCAGCTTACTGGGCCACCAGTGACAATGTCTGTACCCAGAGCAAGTCACTTACAATAAGAGCCTATCACTTAACTGCTAATCACCAGCCCTGATCTGGCCCCATCTGACTGCATGTGTTGATGCTCCAGTTAATTGCATAGTAGTTACTTGCATAACACTGACTGGAGGTCCAGATCCTGTGTGCTCAGAATGGGGGGTAAAAGAGCCAGTCAGAGTGCATAGTCTCTCCATGATCACTCATCTTGCTTTGAGAGGGCATCTGGATTTGAAGCTGGGGGCCCCTTTGATCTGCAGTTAAATGCTTTACCATTGAGGTGGTTCTCAACCTTTCCAAACTACTGTACCCCTTTCAGGAGTCTGATTTGTCTGGCATACCCCAAGTTTTACCTCACTTAAAAACTACTAGCTTACAAAATCCAACATAAAAATACAAGTGTTCAAGTACCCTAGAACTGAAAAATGGCATACTTTCTCATTTTGTCTGTATGAACTTTTAGTTTGTACTGACTTCACTAGTGCTTTTTATGTAGCCTCTTGTAAAACTAGGGAAATATCTAGATGAGTTGATGTACCCCCTGGAAGACCTCTGTACCCCGCAGTACGCATACCCCAGTTGAGAACCACTGTGCTATATCACTCCTCCTCCTGCTGCAATGCAACCTTTTAAATGGGGAAAAGTTGAAAAGAAAATGGGTGTTCCCCTAAAATAATCAACAGTAGCAGAACTATAATAAAACTCCTCCCACATCCAGTATATTAATCAGAGACAGACTATCCGCCTCAGCCTCAGCACACAAGTTGCCTCAGGTACGTAACTTTAGAGAATTCTTGCTCCTCCCTTTCTGGGTGGCCTTTTTATACTGGAGCCTCCTGAGCTTCTGTTACTGCTCCAGAGTTTGCAAGATAAGGACACCAGGCATTTAAACTGGCTTGGCATAACTTCGTTAATGTGTCACAAAACTAGTTTGGAGGGAGGGGGGCTTCAGTCCCCAGTGATTCCACCCCCATCAGGAAAAGTTCACATACAATTTGTGCAAACTGCTTTACGGCTAGGAGTGGAAGAGGATGTGGAAGCTGCAAGGGGCTCAGGAGTGTAATGAACATAATGATCATATTGCTGATGTAAAGATCATAGTACTAACCAACGAGCAATGTTGATGCATTCGAAAGGGAGTCCCTAACCAGTCTTGCCCAGGGGACAGAAAGGTAGGTAGAAATTCAAAAGGAGACAATGGTGGTAATTCTTGTGACCTCATTTCATTCATCCTCTGGCTATAAGGCAAGCAGAAACACACACACACAAGGAAACACTGGAAATTAGGGTTAGCCGTCTGTCTAGGCCAGGGGTTCTCAAACTGGGGGTTGGGACCCCTCAGGGGGTCACGAGGTGATTACATGGGGGGTCACAAGTTGTCAGCCTCCACTTTAAACCTCGCTTTGCCTCCAGCATTTATAATGGTGTTAAATATATAAAAACATGTTTTTAATTTATAAGGGGGGGGGTGCACTCAGAAGCTTGCTATGTGAAAGGGGCCACCAGTAAAAAAGTTTAAGAACCACTGGTCTAGGCATTTACAAGGCACCAAGCACAGTGGTTGTCTCTAAAATGTCTGAAACATGTCTATTGTATTGAGATATCTCTGAACATGGTTTGGAATTGGAAAGAGAAGTGCAATGATCTTGTGGGTTTCTGTAGGTACCAAACCAAAAGAGACCAGCCAGAGCATCTCCAAAAGGAAATAGACAGACTGAGCTCTGAATTGCAGGCTGAAAAGGAGCTCCATATGAGGGTAAGTCACTGAAACCCAGCAAGGGGGAGGATCTCAGACCCTGGACTCCACCGGAGCAGGAACTTCTACACTGCTATTTTTAGCCCGGCACTCCAAGCCCCACGAGACCAGTCAGTGGACCCAGGCAGGTTCTGAGACTTGGTGCCACAGACATTTTTTTGCAGTGTAGACGTACCCTGACAGACCAGGCTAGCCAGGGCTTAGGCACCCCACAAGCAATAGAGGTAGTGAAAGAACTGTGGAGCTGGATAACAGAACAAAATCACCTGTAATTCTCAGGGCTAAGGCTATGTCTACACTAGAAACACTATAGTGGCACAGCTGCAGCACAGCAACCGTGCCGCTGTAGTGTAGACACTTCCTACAGCGAGGGAGGGGTTCTTCTGTCTCTGTAGTAAATCCACCTTGCAGTTAGGGTGACGGAAGAATTCTGTTAGCCTAGCGCTGTCTACATTGGGGCTTAGGTCAGATTAACAACGTCTGAATTTTTCATATCCCTGAGCAACGTAAATAGGTGTTGAGCTAAGTTTTAGGTGTAGACCAGGCCTAAGTAGCATGCGGACACACCCTATACCATTGTTTTATAAGTGAGGACCGAGAGATCAGTTCTGAAAGAGGCAGGTGTGGGCATTAATGGGCAAAATGAGTCCAATGACATCCGTGCCACATCTGCAGACTGCTGAGCGGCTGACAGGCCAATATTCACCGATAAGAACTACAAACAAATACAGAGTCAGGCTAGCAGAAACTGGCTCATCCACACACATACATTTAAACAACAACCACGTCAGTGCACTGACTGTCCAGTGTAGGTAGCCGTTGTCATGGTTAACAACAGGGCCCATGCAATGCTCTGCACTGAGGCCATTCCAGCTATTATAGACTGAACGTAAGAAAATATGTAGGGAGCTGTGAGAAGATGGACTGTGCCCTGGATGTTCAGTCTAGTCCAAGACCCTCAGGTGAGTGGGATGCGGGGGGTCTTACCTGCAGCCTGGCTAGTGTGAACTAATGGATGGGTGTACTGATTAACCTCTTAGACTGCATTGGTTAAAGATTCAGTCTCCTGAGGGCTACAACATCAGGAATATTATTAGCATTAAGAGACCCTAGGAGCGCACTGCTGCAGTCTAAGAGATTAATCAGTAATCAATACACTCATCCATCAATAAGACTACATGTGGGACACAGACTATGTTTTTTGGGACTGACCTTTCATTGGCCAAACCACTTGTCCATCTCCTTTCTCCTTCTGGGTGAGCTGTAGCTTGCCGCTTACAGGAGAGTGTGTTTGTGGTAGTGACTGGGGCTTTAGAGGTAGCGGGTTCAACCCCTGCTGACAGCCCAACACGGGGGCGGGGTGTCATTACAGGCCTGAGGCCAATTCGATCGCCACCATCCAGGCTCATTCCACCAGCTGGGAAACGGCGCAAATATTGATGGTGAGGGAGTGAAGTGTCCCATGATAAAAATGAGAGTCACGCAGCAGCATAGGAGCTGGAACTAGGGCTGCTGGGGGTGCTGCCAGCAGGGAATATGGCCCCAAGTGGTTGGCTTTGGCATTTACAGTTTTCCTTTTTTTAAAAGGAGATGCAGGTCTTGAAGGAGAAACTCTGCAAATCAGAGCTGTTGGTGCAGCAACTGTACAAAGAGATCGCGAGGCTGGAGAAGTCACAGCCTGGGAGACCTGCCCAAGGCCTCCGAGCGCCACAGGAAACAGAGGCCAATGTGAAGCAGGATGATAAGCCAGAAACTGAGAGTTTCGAGGTAGGAACTAAAGCTTTAGAGAGCTGAGAGCAAGTGAGTGAGAGCAAAGAAACAGAGGGAGAAAGGAGGGGAGGGGGGACTGAAAGACACTAGGGGTCAGAGATGAAGGCTGCACAGTCTCCAGGCATCAGGACTAGGATAAGATTAAATTGCCTGCTCTACAGATAAATCCACTGGCCCGTGACTTAACAGCCCAATCAGCAGGGAGAGAAGGATACTAGCACTGTCAAAGCATCCTCTCGAAATGAACACACACATCACCCCAGAGACAGAAACCCCACCCACTCTGTAAAGGGGTGGCCACTATCCTACAAGCTCTCCCCTCTTCCCACCACGCTGTCCCCATCCACACACACCCGGGCCCTGATTCTAGTCACCCACTACCCTGATCTCCAGCCTTGCTTCCCTGCAAACTCTTTGCCATCCCTCAGGGCCTTGAGTACATGGCCCCCTGCTGGGATGGGGGCTACTCATCCCTCCTCCTGGGTGGAGCCTTAGAGACAGGGAGGGATGGCCCGGGAAGTTCCCTTCCCAGAAGCCTAATGATGACCCCTGCCACCTCCATTCCCGGCAGGGTCAGGGCCATGGTGTACAAAGGGGGGTGCCTGTGGTGCAGGGGTAGAGGCAAAGAAATAGCACATGCCGCGGGAGGGGTTGTGAGCCTCACCCTGCTCCTTGCTGTCAGTGTGAGCCACCCTCACTGTAGAGCTGCCCCGTTTCCAGGAGACAGCACCAGAAGGAGCCGGGCTCAGAGGCAGCCTTGCATGCTGCCTCACCTCTGTGGCACTCTCTGAACTCGCTCTGCCCTTGCTGGGGGAGGCTCGCATGCCTGCCAGAGATCTGAGTCCATGTCACTCCCATGCTGTAATTCATTAGAGGCTGGGTGTTCCATTCCTCCAGCTGGTGCTTGGTCACTTCCCTGCAGATTCCTCTACCCAAGAACCATTCTCCACAGATTCTCTTCCCAGCCACCTGTCTATAGCATAAAAACAAGAAATGCCCTGCTGCTTTTCTGACCCACAAACAGCTAGGTCATTCCCAGAACTGACACGATTCACTGCGCTGCCCCGTACGCCCTGCCCATGCCAGTCTTTTTGCCATGCCAGTACCCTCTGTGCTCCCCTCCTTGCTGACATGGGGCTCGCAAGACACTGAAGGAGGAGAGAGGTAGCGTGGCTAAAACTGAAGTCACACCGGAAGGACAGTCATTGCTGGTTCTCCCAGTGCTTCCTGTCCTCTGCACAGCTTTCCTTCGCATTGCAAGCTCTTGCAGGCAGGGACCACAACTATTGGGTGCATTACACCGTGCCAATGCTAAACAAGTGATACTAAGCAAGCAGCCTCAGCTGGCGACACTCCCTGCTCCCACATAACCTCTGGCTCCAAGCTGCTGCTCATCCCCTGATATTTCTGGATGTTGCTTCCTTTTCCTGTACCTGATGCTAGGGATTAGGGAGCCCTCTACTGGCTGGGCACTGAACAGATCCTTTCCCCCACAGCTCATTCAGGCCCTGATTCAATAAGATATTTAAACACGGGTCTAACTTCAAGCTTTGATTTCAGTGGGACTCTCCATGCGCTTAAAGGTAGGCCCGTGCTTAAGTACGTTGCCGAGTTTGGGCAGGGGGAAGGTAAGCAGTAAAGATCCAGCAGATTCATCCATGGCATGCACTGTGCCTACTGCTCAGAGCTCAAGTGGCAGTGACATCTTCTCTTTGCAAGCCCTAGGCAACAGAGGGCGAGGCCTTTGCAAAGCGATACACGCTGGGGCTGGCGTGACCGATCCTGTCCAGTAACAGGCAGTGGTACACACTACAGGGAATCTGAACCACTTTATTCCCTGCCCCAACAAGCAATGAGAATTAGGATGGGAACGAAAAGCCATCCACCCCTCCTGTGAGCCAGCCAGGTCTAAATGAAGACGGTGGCTGGCCTGGAGTAGGGGGCAGATTTGAGAAGACCTCTTTATTTACCCTTATAGTCCATGCCTGCCTCCCTGGGGATGCTGAGCGGCGATCAGCTGTGAAAGCCTCTCTGGGAAAAGAGAAACGCTCTAAGCTGAAGCCGTGTCCCTCAGACAGAGATGTCAGTCACTTGAGCCTCAGGGGGAGGCCTGTGCAGCTGCACTCTGGGAGTTTAGCAGAAAAGGTTAGGAAAGGTGTATGGCTGAATCAGGGAAGAACAGCGCCTGTCACAAGCAATTACTTTATTATCATCAGTACATAAAGCCAGAGGAGCAGTGCAACCAAGTGGCTAATTCAAGGAGAGCGGAGGGGGAGAGGAGAAGGAACATGTATCATCATGTATATTCCTCTATTGCACCCTCTTTACTCGACCATATTCAGTGCCCAAGCATTTTGCGTGTGACAGACAGAAAAGATGGTCCTGAGCCGGAAGCCCAGATTCAAACACCCACAGATTTTGGAGATTTCAAAATCTGAGCCCAGAGTCAAGTTTGTAGCTCTGGTTATAGCCCAATTAGAATGGGGTGAAATGTGGCTAGGAGCCAGTGTAAATCTTCCAGGAGAAATGGATCTATCAAGAAAGAGTGAGTGGCCAGGCCTTACGGAAGTTTCTGTGCCATACATGCAGAGTCTGCCACATGGCTGGAGAGAGTGGGTGCACAGCTTTAGGTTGCACCTTGCGGCTTAGAAAGAACTCTAAGAATGCAGGAGACTTGCCAAGTCTCACTCCGTTAGCGCTTGATCCAAAGGTCACAGAAGGCAAGGGGAGGCTGTTCATGGACGTTAGCGCGTGTTTGATCAGGCCTCTTGAGAGAGACTCGCTCATTTGGGCTAACGATTTTTAACATCTCTCACTCTTCAGCTGAAGGAATTTTGAAGTCAGTGTCTCTTTACAGGTTTTACGGCTACAATCTGGTAGTTTAGTCCCACAAATTTGGGTCTTTTTGGAGAAGAAGGATGGTCTTGTGGTTCAGAGGTTGACTGACCTGGGATTAGGGAGCTGTGCATTCAACTTCTGGCCCTGCCACCGACACCTTATGCGACTATGGCTGCATCACTTAGTCTCTCTGTGCCTCAGTTCCTCATCTGTTGAATGGGGATAATAATGCTCCCTTTGTCTGTCTTGTCTAATTTAGAGTGTACACACTTTAGGGGCTGTGTCTTAGTATGTGTTCATACAGCACCAAGCACAATGGGGTCCTGCTCTCAGGTGGGGCCTTTAAATAGAGGTTTATAATAATAAATTATTAATAAATGATTAATAAATAATAAAGAGGTTTTGCAAGATCAAACAGGCATAGAAATGACCCTGCCCCCAATTCTAATGAAAAGCTTGTTTAAAAACACACTTTTCATATTATCATTAACATACTGAAAAACAATATCAAATTATGTATATGTTTATCCTGATTAACCTTACCTAACACACTCATACTTCTGCACCAGTACAATCAATCTTAATCAGTGGTTCTCAGACTTTTGTACTGGTGACCCCTTTCACATAGCAAGCCTCTGAGTGTGCCCCCCTTATACATTAAAAACACTTTTTAATATATTTAACACCATTATAAATGCTGGAGGCAAAGCGGGGTTTGGGGTGGAGGCTGACAGCTCGCGACCCCCCATGTAATAACCTCGCGACCCCCTGAGGCATCCCGACCCCCAGTTTGAGAACCCCTGATAACCATTTCCATGTATCTCTCACCTCCTAATTCCACTTTATTTAACCTTTACCAAAAATCTACATGAGAGGCACTTAGACCTCTAGACATTGACAAAACAAATAAAAGTCTAGTTACCCTTCGCTGCACATAGTGTCCAAATGTAAATAGTTGTTCTGCCTTCCATGTAGGAGACTTTCTGGAAGTGTTCCCTTCTTCTGCTATTTTCCCTTTGTAAATCACATGTAAGTTATAATCAACTGCTATGTATATCCCTTCATATAGGAATAATTTGACCTGTTCCTCATCTGCTTTCCCCCTCTATATTTGTCAAGTTTAAAAGGCCCATTTGTGTTTGGTGAGCCTCTTATTGTTGTCTGTATTTATTTTGTTCAAAAGTAAAAACACAGTGACCATACACTAAGATCTGCTTGATCCCAGTATAAAGCAATCTGTCATTTCTTCCATGGCGATGGTTTCCCAAGCTTTATTTCTCCATGCCATTGATCTAATTCAAAGATTTGTGTTTACATTTAAACCTCCCCGGCATTGTTTGCAACCCAAACACAACAGTATTGGGCTGGTGAATGAGAACTAAGAAGGGGAAATGACTAGTCTATTTTCATTCTCCAGTCTGAGTAAAGAAAAGGAAATGGTGTAACAGGTAATAAGTCAGTTATTGAGTTTGATTTTTAATTTTTTTTCAAGTCTAATAACCTACATTAGTAACCCAGGGAAAGCAATTTGCTTTCTTCCACCCCTAAAAATCTAAGATTTGTAACTCAACAGCATCCTTTTAAAATCTCATTTGTCACAGGTTGGCAGCATCGCCGGGGGCACTATTAGATCAGATTTTGTTCTTTGCATGGTCGCCGTGTTAATCCACTCCTTGTGGGACAATATTTTGAGTAGAGTGCTCCCACCTAACAGGAAGGCTCAGTAACTGCCCGAAGCCAGGAAACCCGGTCCTTCTTGGGGGGCTAGGATGTTTTGTGGATCAGTAACAATTCTACATATTATTCCAAACAGGCAAAACCTTTGTTGCAAGGCTCGGTCACATCATGACTTTGCTCTTGGTCAGTATATGAGCAGCGAATATGCCAGGTTGATACGAGTCTTTCCTGCTTCCAGGATGTTGACAAGAACCTCACGAAGGGTTATGTATTAATTCTGGCTGTTTGGAGGCCACTATCCCTTGTTCCGTCTCCTCCTCAGTTCTTGATGGTTTTGATCTCTGGGTTTGTGCTTCTTAGTGGGATCCTCTATCGTAAACGAACCAACAAAGGTTGCCTCTGTCTTCACGAACAAGGTCAGCTCCCAGACTGCTGCACTGGGCAGCACAGCATGGACGTGTGTTATTCCTTGACTTTAGCAA